TAAATATTGTTAATACCTAATTACCCTTTCAAAATTTCACAATGGAAAAGAAAGTGTTTTCAAATTCAAAGTCTGCAGTTTTTGAATATTATACTCTTAGAATGGATGAAAAATATTATCAGTGTAAATGCATTATAGAAAATGATGATGGTAAACATGTATGTGGAGCAAAAATTAGTGCTTTTGCTAGTTCTGAAAAAAAATGCATTTACAAGAGCAGGTAATTTAAAAAGACATTTGCAACGTCTACATCCTAAAATTCTACAAGAAGTAAATGAAAAAGACGACAGTAGAAACACTTCATCTATTTTAAAATTAGAAAATGTCCAAAAATTTAGTTCAGTACAAACACAAGTATGCAAATTCTTTACTTCAGATAAAGTTACAGTAACAATGAAGTGCAAAATTCAAAAATCTCATAATTGAAATGGTGGTGCAAGATAGTGTGCCTTTAATTTTTTTTTCACGACTGGTCATTTTAGGCTTAAACAGTGAAATGGCGAGAGAACTTGGAGTTTCACTAGATAGAGAAAACATCAGAAGACTTATAATTGAAGAGGTTATTTTGAAAAAAGATGAACTTTGTAAAAAACTGAAGGACCACTTGATATTTATTAAAAATGAATGCATGCACTTGCCATCGAGTGAATTATTTTACAATTAATGTTTGATTTATTGACGAGAATGCAATTGTTATGAAGACTTTAGCAGTAAAAGATACTTTCCTGTGTGATGAGCCATAGTGTCTGCAGAAGTTGGTTCAAGAGGTATTAGAAGACTTTAAAATTAAAAAGGAGCATATTTTGTGTATTGTAACAGATAATGCTTCAAATATGTTGATTCATTTTCTCAGTTATTTTTAAGATAATGAAAATGCATTAGAAGACATTGATGAAATATTTGCCATTGACTTACGAAGCGAGCCTATAATAGAAAAAGAGGAATATTTAGATGATATTGTGGAGGAAGTGTCCAATGTGTTTCAAATCCAACATATGTGATGTGCTATTCACACGTTGCAATTAGCAATAAGAGCTGGATTAAAAGACTCTCAGGTAGCTAAAATCATTACAAAATTAAGACAGGTATCTACTGTAGCTAGAACCCCTAAGATAGATGCTATTCTGAGAAGGTTTGCTAGAAAAGGAATTATTTTAGATCAATCTACTTGCTGGGGAAGCACTTATTTAATGGTTAAGCGGTTGCTCGAATTGAAGACCTTGATAATCAATGGGTTTCATTAACTGAAAACCAATGGAAACAAACAGAAAAATTAGAGAGCGTCTTGTCATACCCTTATACTTTACCCTAAAGTTACAAGCTGGAGATTTAACACCTGGAAATTTTTTCTTACAGTGGAAAACTTTGATGCATCAGCTCGACAAAACTGGAGGAATTATTACTAATGCAATTCTATCTTCAATGAGAAAAAGAGAGATTCAGTTGTTAGACAATAAAATCTTGTTAGCCACTATTTACGTTGATCCAATGAATCAAATTTTACTAAATGACAATCAAATTGTATCAGGGAAAGAAAAGCTTTCTGAAATAGCTATTTGCTTGAAAAGGTTGCAGTTACCTTACATTTATGAATCAAAAGATGAAAATAAAAATAATGAATGTAATGACAACTCGGAATCATCATCTCCAATAAAGAGCTTGATTTCGAAGCATATTTGGATAGTTTAGAACATCTCAAAGTGAGGCAAAGATGCTTAACAAATCAAGAAACTAACCCGGCAGAAATTGAAAAAATAAAATTTGAACAAAATTTTTTAAATAGGCTAATTGAAATAGAAAAGTATGACCGTTTATCAAAATTGAACGTGGAAGAAGCTGTTTCAATTTATCCAGAAATTATTCGCGATGCAGCTAGATCTGTCACAGCAATGCCATCAACACAAGTCAGTGAGGAAAGATTATTTTCAGCTTTGAAAATAATTAAAGCTGATTTAAGGGCATCTATGAAGGAGGATTTAATTGAAGCTATTTTGTTTCTTAGAACCATTTTATAAAATTCAAAATTATAAATGTAATTTAGTTTTTTTTATTTAAGTGAAAATATAAAATAAATTTTCTTATTAATTTTTAAAAATGTTTTTGTATTTTGTTATAATTCATTTATTTTAAATACAAAATGCATCAATTTAATTTATTAAATATGTAGTATTCGTGTTTAGTAGTTAAATTATTTTGACCCAATTGAATTTGAATATTTTTGAATCATTCCTTTATTATCCCCGCTCTAAATAATTACTCTATCTTTTTGAATGAGCCAGACTAATTGACCAAAGTACATATTTTTCTTTTCTGAACAAGAGATCTAAGTAGCTAGATCGCACATTTTTTAGTTGGACTAACTCTTCTTTGAAAAGGGAAGTGGAGAAGGGCAAAATTGAAGTGTAAATGCTGTCGAATATATGTAGATGTAGAATTTTATCAACCCCTTTCTCTTCTTATTAAATATTTGTTAAAAATTAAATTTTTTATACAAATAAATTTTAATGTAAGTTAAATATTAAAAATACTATAAAAGTATTTGGGTAGACACCCCAGGCTCCTTTCAGAGTTCAGAGTAGGGTACCCCCATGAGCGCCTCTGACCCCATAAAATTACTCTGTATTTAATTTTGCCAGAGTTGGAGTTGGCCTACTAAAATTATCCAGAGTCGGAGTCAAGTACTGACTTCGCAGCCCTGCTTTCAGCAGGATATCATGCTGCAATTCAAAAATGGTGAAACTATGATCTGGATAAATGTTGAAATGAACACTTTATATAATATTGATATAACACATTTATTGTTATTTGATGGTGATTTGTATTTTCATTCTAAGACTGTATAGTGACTAATTCTTGTTGTCTAACCAAAACCAGCTATAGATTTGTCTGGAATTATTTATTGTTTCTTTTATTACTTTATTAAGATTACAATAATTATAGAATAAACAGTATGAGTTATTTGTGTTGTTAGCTTAAGTATATACAGGAAATCCTCATTGGTTCAAAATTCAAAAGACGAAATATTCAGGACATTGAATTATTCAAGATTTACATAATTCTGTGCAGTATGCCAAATGCCATGTAACTGATGTAATTTATTAAGCAAATAGAATATGGCTACTTATACAGAAAGCTATTTTCATTAATTAATAATAATACAGTGGTTCCTCAGGATATGACATGAAATTCAAACATATTTTTGCTCCACAATACGAACAAAAACTTACCATACAATGTTACATTAGTTTGCAGTGCCATTTTTCATTCACTTCTGTTCATTGGTCTCAGTCCGTTTGTTTACTTCGTCGTGGGAGGATCTCACTCGATAAAGGAAATCTTGAGGTATTATCGGAAAGTGACTGATTTTATTGAAAAGAAACATCCCGAAAAGGTTCACACTGGTTGTATTACTGTTCGGAGTAATGACATTTGCCTAAGTCATTTTAGAAACATTTTAAAAAGTAGGCAAAGCCAAACCTCTTTGGATAGATATTTTACCAAGCGANCTTTGCTCTGCCAATCTCACTCCATGTGACTTTTTTCTGTGGGGTTATGTTAAGGAAAAAATTGTTTGTGCAACCTCTGCTACTGGATATTGACAAATTGAAATTGAGAATTAAGTTTTTTAATTAGAAGTGAATTAAAATTCATCAATCAAATGATGAAGCTGGATTAACTAGTCTTGTCATTTGATTATAGATTATAGATAAATGCCTGGATTATACTTATTTATATTAAAATTTAATAAGTACACCTAGACACTAATAACTAGAAAAAAAATGGATATTTTCAGGTTAGATGAAACAAAAATACAATTAATTGTGTATTTGAAAAACAGAACATTAACTATAAATTTTAAAAATTGAAACTGTTAAGTTTTTTAAATTGCTATCATATTCTGAAATGATCAGATATGCATTTATTATTTAAATTTAATTTTAAATTCACTAAAACATACAAAACATGCAAACTAATTAGTGAAATTATTTTTAATACAGAGAAAGAAGGTTATTTTATCATTACAGTTGTTTTTAATATTAATTTTCATGCTTCTTGGAACAGATGACCTTGCTTGTTTACATGGCTATTTTCTGTACTATTTCTGTCTTTTTTTGTGTATATCTAACTACTACAGAGTATTGTTTTTTCTTGGTTGTGTTTATTAAACAAAGTATCTTGACAAAATCTACCAAAACTCCAATTTTCTTCACTTGTCTTGAAGATAGCTATATGTTTTTTTTTTTTATTGTTGGTTTTGTTGATTTTTGCTTTAAGATGCTTGTAAAAGGCCAACCTGGCCACAGTGTCTTTTAGAGAAATAAAAAATAAAATATATACATTAACATTGAAATGATAATAGTCCAGTCAGTTTTCAAATTATAATTGAATACTGTAATTTCATTACAGTATCTTATTTCAAGAGAATTGAACTAGTTTGCATTAAATTAAAAATTCTTTTACAGAAATGAAACTAAACCCAAATTTCTTAAGTGTTTTTTAACACTGAAAATTGAGTCTACAAATATAAAAGTTTGGGTCTATAAAGCACTGACAGTTCTCTTTCGGACATTAATTTAAATACATATTTCAGGTCTTAGGCAATTTCTTTTTTATATGTTTTAATAATTAAAGAATTAAATGTATTAATTGAAGTATCAATAGATGGAGACTCATTTTAACTTAATGCTCACTGATTAAATATTCAAAAATATAATTAAAATTCTGTTTTAGATATTAACATTTGAAAGTACAAACATTACTTAACTAAAATGACATAATTTTTGAAAAATGATTGTATGTTGCTATATATTATTTTAGAGATAAAATAATCTTGTAAAAATATGAGCCTTTCATCCATTGAACTTTGCCATCTTTTTTCACAAACTGTTGTGTTTCTTGTTAATCACCAAATAATTCTTTTGTGATAAATTATATTCATCTGATATTAGTATGTAGTAGAGTTGAAGTGTATCAAGATAAATTTTTTGTTTGGATTACAGACTGCATTTCGTCACTCGTGAAGACAAGTAATGCATCATTTCAAAATTTACAAAAAAATCAAAGCAAACTTTATGAAAAGAAATCAAAGTCTTTGCAGGAAAAAGTACGAAATAGGCCTTTCTGTCCAGTGTGTCTAAAATCATTTTTCGATGCAAGCAATCTTAGAAGACACATGGAAATCCATTATTATCAGCGCAAGAACTACATCTGCCAGCTGTGCACCAGACGTTTTTCTTGGAAGACTCACCTCATGACGCACATTCGAACGTGCCATGTTACGGAAACATCTGCGGAAGGAAGTGGTTTTAGATAATGTGATTGCAAAATTTTTGTCCTCATCTTAATTAATTCAAAATAGTATTTAGTGTGCAGTTCAAGTACAATTCTGTTTTTGTAGCTGGGATTTATAGATAAATTCATATTTTTTTTTTTTGGAATATTCATTTCTTTGTTGATGCATTTTTGTCAGGTTAAAACATGTTATTCTTATTGATGTTAAGAAAAGAAATCAATGAGAATAAACCAAAATATGGAATTAATAATTTTGCCAAAACCTCATATTTTAAAGAATTTTTAAACTATTTGTTTTTAAAAGTGTATATAGGCCTGTTGAAGTATTTTAAATTATATTAAAAGCTGATAATGCTACAATACTTCCAGTACTTTAATAGTAAAATTATTAACACCATCATAAATATTTTATTAAAGCATCAAAGAGAATAAAATGTACTCCTCATCAAGACTTTTTTGAACAACAATAAAAAATTATATACAAATTAATAAGGAGGTAAAATTTTAATATTCTAAAATATAACATTTGGTTAACTTTTAAATAATTACAAATTTATGTTATGGATATAGTTATCACTACTATAAAAGCAGAGAAATAGAAATAAATAGGCAAATGTACTGTACATTCTGTACTTTTTCCTTAAACTTTTCTGTTTAAAATTTTCTATTTTTTTGAGAGTAATTTCAGGTAGAAGAGAGAAAATTGCTATATTTTATAGTTTCTGTACATAACGATTTTCGTAAAACCATAAGTTTTACAGTTTTCTATCATATGCAGTGCTAATTTTAATTTCTTCCACTTAAAAAAGAACGTAAGGCACTTTCTTTTCTCAAGACTCCCTTTCTTAGATTGGTGCCATCTTTTTTTCATTTTTATGTTTACCAATCTCATTTTATTTTCCTGTGTTTCTTGTTATTTGTTTTATTCCCAATCACATTTTTGTGTATGTGATTTTTTTTTTTTTTTTAGAAATGTTTCTGAAAGTAACTCTACCAAACTGTCCAATCTTCATATGAAAAAAAAAAGTTGCTATCAAATGAAAAAAAAGCTGAACTCATAGTAAAATAAAAGCATAAAGGAATGTAGTTTATTTTTTGCTACTCAAATGATTATATAACATTTTTTGCTTTCTGAAATGTTAACTATTTTTGAAATGGGCATCATGAGCATATAGAAACATTGGTTTTGGTGACTACATGGCCCATGGAGGCTAGAGTGTCTGCCTGCTACTGTGGAGACCTCAATTTAGATCTGATTGGATTCTTAGAAATTTTGTGTGGTGATCTGGTCTAAATATATTTGGTCTCATCATTTTCCATTTTCATCAATTGTAACTGTGTATATAACAATGATATATTGACCATAATCATAGAAAAAGTGGATAAATATATATTTATCCACTTTTGCATATGCAAAAGCAGTGGTGTGGACATGGCATGATATTCATGATACATCTGCACCTAAAACATGGACAGTTTTCAGTTCTTTTCTAGCATAATGATCTAAAAGTACTGAAAAGGGAAGAGAAAGTCTTATAGATTGAAACTAGAATTTTAGAAAAACTGTATGATGAAAAAATTAGAGAATCATAGTAGATTTGTATTTACACCAAATTAATCAATAGTGAAGTTGTATGAGGTAGTCAAAAATGAACCAAACTTTTGACATAGGTTTTATTATACAACACACAACTCTAGCATCACAACACCTTTAAAGCAAGTTCTTATGGATAGTTACTACTACCAATATCCATATTTTCACTTAACAAAAACTGACTTACAGGATTGCTTTGAGGGTTTCTGTTACCTGCAGTTTCTATCTTTGATGCTGTTAAGAACCTGTGACCTTTTGATTTCTTTTGTTTTGGGGAACAGATGAAAGTATACAGGGGCAAGATCAGAGGACTAATGCAGGTTTTTTTTACTGTTTCCACCCTGTGGGCATTAAGAGGTCTTTTTTTAGATCCATTTTCGGTTTGACCAGGCCAACAATGGTACAGTGAGACAGCTGGATGGTGAGGAAGGAGGCCTAACATATTTGCAATGAACCAACTTCCAATTTTTCATCATCCTATATTCAATCCTGGATCCCCAGAACCATCAGAGTTGACATGTGTCCTGGGAGACCTGCTACTGCAAGGAAAGTTGAGACAATTAAGATAGTAAGGGAAGAGATAAGATCAGAGGCAAATGATCGATGACCTTTTGAGGATTTCTCATAGTTCAGTGCAACAAAAACTTGCACATGCATTTTGTCTGCTGACACCTTGTTGCAAGAGGTTTAGCAGACAAATAGCATGTAGTTTGTGCTCTGGTTAAACTTGTCTCAGCCATCTGGCCATGGAGTAAGGAGGTTAGAGAAGTACTGTTATTCTATTCTTAGTCAGATATTTTGTTGATGAAAAAGGATATTGCAAATACAAAAGAATATTGTCATGGTAGAAGACTTACTTTGTGCAGAAGACTAAGAATTGCATTATGCCTTTCTGTGTGTATCCTGTCTACTTGGACCTTGTTTATTAATAGGCTTTATTATATCTCAGGTGAAAATAAAGATATTTTGTTTTGTCTTAGACCTCCTCTATTTGCTAATCAGAAACTACACCAGTATAATCAACCTTATTAATAAACAAAGTTCAAGTAGACAGGAAACACAGAAATTTATAAGAGTAAGGATGTGGAAGTAAAAAGAATTTATCATACCTTTTCCATATTGGCAGGATGACCTGTCAATATGAAAACATTCCATTTACATTCCAGGAATAATTTTGTGATGTGTTCTTGGGTATAAAAAAATACACAAAATCAAACAACTTCCCAAGTTTCTTACACCATAATGTTACACAAATACTAACATCATTTGTCATTTTGATTTGTCAGCTCAACTTTTTTGGTTATGGTGAACTGTGGACTGGTGTTTTGACTGGAGTTGTAGAAGAAATGTTAAATTTCAATGTCAGTAATTACTCTGTCCATTACTGACTGACCTTGTCTATCAACTCGCTACTCACCAGAGCACAAGCTTCATGCTGTTTATCTGTTAAAGCTCTTGCAACAAGGTGCTGCTAGACAAAATGCATGTTCAAGTTTAAATGCATTGAGCCATGAGAAATTCCCAAACACGTACCATTTGCCTGTGACCTTCCTTATCTAGTATCTTTTTTTACTCTCCTGATTGTCTCAATATTCCTTGTAGTAGCAGGTCTCCCAGGACAGATGTTACCTCTTATCGATTCTCAACTATCTTTAAATCACTTATGCCACTTGCACTTATTGTACATAAGCATAAATTCAAAAAAGACTGAATTTATGAATACTTTAGAACACTGTTGAAACATTGCTTTAGATTAGAACTTAGCTAAAAATGATTTGATGGAACAAATGACTTGAATGTTATGCAACTGCTTTATAAGGCAGGTAATATACTGTATGCTTCAATGAGAATACATTAGAGATCTAACACTGAGACAGTTGATCCCAAAGAACCTTTTATCTGAAATAAAAACAGCAAGATTTCTTAAATTATTAGCATTTAATTGTTCAATGGAAGTACAAGTGAAAACTGTACACAAGCATGGATTCTACTTAAAGGGGAAACTTCCAACTCATACACAGAATAAATGATGTTTCAAGAGTAGTTGCTTGTGTTTATTTCTGAGAAAAATGAAAATGAGATTCCTTTTTGTGTTGGGTAACTTCAAGGGCCAAAAAGTGGCCTCAGAAACAATGGCATACATTTATACACAAGTAAACACATATGTTTTCGGCTGCCACAATAATGATGTGGTAACAATCATGATTTCTTTTTATCTGTGTAGCTTTCATGTTCAAAACATAGATGAAATTAAATTTTTGTAATATTTTCTAAACTTTCAATGTATTTCAGGTGGTTGGTCTTTTACCAGTTTGGAGTTTTTTGTTAGTTGTTGCAGCAGAAACATTCTCTTCATAAAAGATGTGGTTATTCATAAGACTTACTTCTAGAATAACCAAAACGATGCTAAAATCGCTTTAATTTGTTTCACTAACGTTTTCGAACCTTCTGGTTCTTCTTCAGGTGAAAAATGGGCAAATCCGTTAAGATTCAATTGAAATGATCTTTTTTTAAAAGAATTCCGAACATGGAACTTATCCGAAACTCGTGCAATCAGTAGCGTGGCAAACCCTGATATATGACACATAACGGGAGGAAACGTAGGCTCATAACGACGCATGCGCAAAAGAAGACGACGATTGCACGAGTTTCGGAGAAGTTCCATGTTCGGAATTCTTTTAAAAAAAAATCATTTCAATCGAATCTTAACGGATTTGCCCATTTTTCACCTGAAGAAGAACCAGAAGGTTCGAAAACGTTAGTGAAACAAATTAAAGCGATTTTAGCACCGTTTTGGTTATTCTAGAAGTAAGTCTGTTGAAGTTACGGTGTGTTGGAAGTAGTATTGTTTATTTGGTTATTCATAAAGTTTCTATTTAGTTAGATTATATACACTTTTGTATATTATAATTTTTCACAGTCTTATCTATCCATTTCAAGTGCCAATATTTTGTGGTCCTAATTTTCAAGTGTTTACAGAACAAACAATTCACCATTGTTTTTAGTGCATTTCAGGAATTCAAACTTCAAAATTACACTGAACCATCAACTGAAGAAAAGTTTTGTAATGTAAAAGTTGAATTATCACGTTATTCAATTTGAATTTTATGTGGATAAAAATTCATATCAATTGTATATAATTATCAGTGCAAAGTTAAACTTTTGATGTAATGACTAAGTAAAATTAGGATTTTCTTTAATATTCAGTATATGGTTTTGTCATTGTAACATTACTGTTGCAAAAGTTCACCAACAATTGCCACAGTCAGTTATAAACACACAATTCATAAAACAGGTCAGCAAATAATTAAAAAAAATATGTTTATATAGATTTAGGCTACATACAAATTAGATTCAAACCACAGTTAACAGAGGTAGACAGGAAAAAACATCCTCTTTTTACTATTTTACCAACAAGAAGTCTGGTTAATGGTGAGGTAACTTTATGTTTTTGTATGTGTTGCAAATTTTGAGGCCAGTTTTTTGGCACTCAGAGGGACAGAACATAAAATTAACCTCATTTTTGTTTTTCTCATAAACAAATACATCCCACTGCTCTTGAAACATTACTATTTCACATATGGGTTGGAAGTTTCCATCAATAGAAGAAACTTATACCCTTGTCTCTCACAATCACATGTAATGTAAAAGTCCAAAATTTTTGTTCACTTTTGATTCTACCTTGCAAATATTTTATATGCAATTCTTTCCTTTCTTCTGGAAATTATTTATATAGAATAAATGCTAAATTAAATTTTGTGTCCATAGAAATGCAGTTAATTTATATCCTTTTTTTATTTTGAGTTTCAAAGGGTGCTGTAGTCATACTTTATTATTATTGTTTAAAATTTGATTTAGAATTTTAAGATATTGTATATAATTTTGTTCATTGTCATTTAAGAAACTTCTGAAAATGAATATCAGTCCAAAAATGTTAGAATATTCTCTTTGATATTCTAATAAATCATTTATGGTGACATGTTTGTAAATTAAAGTTCTAAACTTTGTTCTTTGTTTTATAATAACATTAATTTCAGATATTTCTCTATAAATTGTAAATGTGTAAAACTAATTGAAGCATCAGTTAAATAGTCATTATTATATGTCAAGGTTAAAGGCTAATACATGAGAAAGCTCTTTAAATTCAGATTTTTGAAAGCCAAAATATAATTATTTTTGAATAATTTTAATTAAAAATATAATACAAAATAAAAATTATAAATTTTAATTTATAAAGGAGTAGTTTATTTTATTTTTACCAAATGAAATAACAAGTTATCAAATTAAACATAAAATTTATATTTAATTAATGATTTTAACCATAAAATGAATTTTTTTTTGAAAAGAACAAGTAAATAAATTTATGTGCATTTAGTTCATTATGCAAATACATTTTATAAAACTCTGAAGACAATTCTTGGGGACTAATTTTGTTTTTTTAATATTATTAGCAACGAAATATTTAAAAACATATGATTATTTATTTAAACAGCTAATATTATTTAAGTGTTTTATACTTACCTCAAATATGGTTTAGTCCGGACAGATTTTTACAGTCTGCATGTACTTTCGTAGACCTCATATTCTATTTTTATGACATTAATAAGCACTTATATATTTTACTGCTTTTTTGAAATTAAGGTCTCACTCACAAGTTTCTAAAATCTATTAGTATAATACACGCCTAAACACCAGGGTGAAAATTATCACTGTGTCAAGAACCTGTTACTGGTGTGCTTAGTGAAAATACAGTTTATCACAAATGCTTTCTTCAAAATGGAACTGTATTTTCACAAAGCACATCGGTAACAGGTTATTGACACAGTAATTTCTGAAGAATAATTGTCTCAAATTTGTCTCTGACTCCAAGAAGTCTTGTATGTAATCTATTAGTACTTTAAAGACTGCTTTTATGCTGTTAGAAATTCTGAAAATGTTTATTAAAATTTCATTAACTTTAATTTTTCTGCCCCAAGTTGTGTGTTTACTGAATTTGAGGAGTCACAAAAGGTTTCATTATGGGTATTGAATATTTTTTGTAATGGATAGTTGGATAAGAATATTCAGTAAGTTTTTATAACTTAATTTGAACGAAGATTTAAATTTTATTTTTTATTAAAAAACTCATTATCTTAAATTTCTAGATCAATTTATACTTTTTCTTTAGTATTTTTATCTTTTTATGTTAAATTACAAAAAATAAATAAATTTAAGCTAATTTTTGATCTCATAAGTTATGTTAAAAATTATTTTTAAAGTGATAGTTGAGCAGATCTTTGTAGAAATCAACTCATCAAAGATTAACAATACAGTATATTTTATATTGAATTTTGTGTTTTGGTAATATTTTGTCGCTGTCATGAATTACTAGTAAACTTCAAGCTAGAATAAATTCAAATGTTGATTACCCTGTCTAGATATTGATTGATTAATGCAACTCAAACATGGATATATCTTGATTATAATAATTTTAATCTCTAAGAAGTAAAATAAAATAAAATTAAAACTACTTTACTTACAAGTAATTTCTGAAGAATAATTGTCTCGAATTTGTCTCTGACTCCAAGAAGTCTTGTATGTAGCTGA